AAAATAAAATATATATCTGGCCACTTTATTAGGTACACCTTACTACACAGTATTAGGTTGGACCCCCCTTTTGCCTTCAGAACTGCCTTAATCCTTCATGGCATAGATTAAACAAGGTACTGGAAATATTCCTTAAAGATTTTGGTCTATATTGACATGATAGCATAAGGCAGTTGCCGCAGATTTGTAGGCTGTACATCCATGATGCAAATCTCCCTATTGTGCTCTATTGGATTGAGATACAGTGAACTCATGGTCATGTTAAAGAAACCAGTCTGAGATGAGTCATGCTTTTGTAGACAAGGACCGTTAACCTGCTCGAAGTAGCCATCAGAAGAGTATAAAGGTCAGCAACAATATTCAGGTACGCTGAGGCATTGACACAATGCTCAGTTGGTACTAATGGGCCCAAAGCGTGCCAAGAAAAACTCCCTCACACCATTAAACCACCACCACCAGCCTGAACCGTTGATGAAGGGCAGGATGGATCCATGCTTTCATTTTGTTGATGGCAAATTCTGACCCTACCATCTAAATGCGAGAAATCAAGACTCATCAGACCAGGCAACGTTTTTTTCCAATCTTCAATTATTCAATTTTGGTGAGCTAGTTTCCTACTCTTAGCTGACAGGAGTGGCACCTGGTGTGGCCTTCTGCTGCTGTAGCTTATCTGCCTCAAGGTTGGACGTGTTGTGCATTCAGAGATGCTTTTCTGCATACTGCCTACTTCGGTTGTATCAAGTGGTTATTTGAGTTACTGTTGTCTTTCTATCAGCTGGAACCAGTCTGGCCAGTCTCCTCTGACCTCTGGCATTAACAAGGCATTTGCACCCAAAGAACTGCCCCTCACTGGATACTTTCTCTTTTTCAGACCATTCTCTGTAAACCCAAGAGATGGTTGTGCGTGAAAATCCCAGTAAATCAGCAGTTTCTAAAATTCTCAGATCAGCACGTCTGGCATCAACAACCATGCCACGTTCAAAGCCTCTTAAATGACCTTTCTTCCCCATTCTGATGATCTGATTGAACTGCAGCAGATCATCTTGACCATGTCTGCATTAAGTTGCTTCCACGCGATTGGCTAATTCGAAATTTGCGTTAATGAGGAGTTGGACAGGTATACCTTATAAAGTGGCACATGAGCGTATATATTTATTGCATTGTTGTAATATTTAGATATATGCTACCACTGAAGTCATTGCTTTTTATTCATCAAAGTTTTACGTATTAACACGTAAGTCATTACAATGTTACTAAATAATGTTTCAACTTTTTTTAAATTTCTTTTAATGATGTTTTAGGTAAGGTTGAAATGACTTGTTAAGGTAATTTATTCATTCATTCATTTTATTTTCGGCTTAGTCCTTTTATTAATCTAGGGTCGCCACAGCGGAATGAACTGCCTAAGGTAAATTAAGTCAACGTAAAATTTAAATTCATTTTTGTACAGTGTAAATATTTGTATTACTTGCAAAAATATCTCTCGAATAAATGTTACTTTTTTTATTACATTGAAATTGCTATTGATATTTTTTTTAAATATAAAGCAACAAACTTTTTAATGAAAAATGTTTTTTGAAAATAAAATCAGCATATTAGAATATTTGCTGACTCAAGTGACACTAAAGTATATGAGTAATGATCAGCATACATCTGAAAATCTATTTAAATAGAAAACTAGATCTATAAATTGTATTATCATTTTACAATACTACTAATTTGCTGTAGTATTATAATGAAAATCTTCTGTTAGAGAGCATAAAAGATAATAAAAAAAGCTTTCTAAAATACAAATTGTAAAATCTTACAGAATTTGATCATATAAAGCAATACTAATTTCAAATGTGTTTGGTTAGCCAGCTTGCCCTCAATTCCATTTATTCACTTGAAATCCATAAAAACAACCCTGCAGAATTTTTCTCAAAATAAGTAATTGCAAACAATAAATAAAAAAAATTTAAAAATCAGCAGATTCCATCTGGGCCTTGCTGTAATTAGTACTGAAAAGACGACCACACATACCATATGTACACCACCTAAATTGTCACACTTCATACAAAATGCCTAACGTGTAAAAAAGGAGAAGTTAACTTGTTTTGTGTGTGTGTGTGTGTGTGTGTGTTTTAAGCTAAACTAACACTGTGGTGCTGGCTGGCAGTCTCCAGCTGAGAGAACCAGTCGGGTGTGTTTAAGGTTAAGCTGACGTCTCATGTGATCCCTGTGTCAATGTGCAGGTAAAACTCACACGGCAGAGAGATTGAACAACAGTGTGTGTGTGTGTGTGTGAATCCTGATCCAAGCTCTGCTACAGTGGGTTTATACAGTTAAAGTGATTTGAACCCTGCTTTTTCATTACACTGCAAAAATGCTTATTTTACTACCTACACTCAAAGAAATGTCCTTTTCTGTTTGTTCAAACTGCTTATTGAAAATGAGCTCAAACAATTTTTGAGTCATTTGGGAAAACTGAATTGTTTTATGTTCAATCGAAAAAAAAAACAAAAAAACTTTCAAATCAACTTATTTTCTTCATGTTGTCCCAACACAAATCATTTGTGTGGATCGATACGTCTTTACTTAAATTAATATTTTGGCTTGCTTTTACAAAACAAATATCTAAACTTTCTGAAATTGAGGTACATTTATTTGAAAAGGAAACTTCTTAAAGTCAGCTTAAAATGGACAGTGGTATCAGTTTTTTCTGGCTACTCAAACAAGACAACATGTCGGGCAGGGCTTAGATTTGATTGTCAGGAATTGATTGAATGGTTGGAAAGTGGCAGTTTGCTATTGGTGAATCTCATATAATTGACAGGTTGTTCAAGTCAGTAAACACGACATATGATAATAAAATGATATCACAAGTCAATCTCACACCAACTCATAACGTTTTGATTTAGTGCCTCATTCCAATTAATTTGTAATTTTAGTACTATTTGCTCATCCCCCAATAAGGGGTAAGGTTAAATATTGGGTTTGATGGAACACCTCCTTTTAAAAAAACGTTCATTTTCATACAAATGAAAATGTATGAATTTGCAGAAACTAGACACTTTTCTGACAACTTTCTTAAGATCGGGCTGGGGTGCGTTTTCCAAAACCATCATTAGTCAACTATGGTTGTAAGTTTCATCATTACAAACATAGCTCGGGGATTTGGCGTTTCCCAAATCTATCGTTCTAACGAACATTCTCAAACTGTTTCGCAAACCTGTAACTTTGCAACTACACCTCTAGAGCTGTAGTTAGAAGCATAGTTCCTGGCTCTTTTCTATTGCAAATACTCCCCTCTATGCCATATTTCTTTAGACTGTTCCAACATTTAAACTTGGAATGATTAAAAAGCATTAAAATCTTACACCTCTTAGGTGTAATTTGCTTTCAAAGTACTTTTTACAGTTCAGTTTTAGGAATCTTCATGTTGACAATTCTGCTTCCTTCGCAGTGCACTTTGAAAACTTTTATGCCATTTTGAACAGAGCCATGGCTCATAACGAAAGCTATTTACTTTCTAGTAGGCTATTTATTAGGAAATGTATCTGTACTGTATGTGACATGGGCTTGTTGGTTAGAACATTTCTGCAGTGGTTTGTATATTAATAATAATAATAATAATTATTATAACAACAACAACAATAATAACAATAATAATAATAATAATAATAATAATAATAATAATAATTTATTATTATTATTATTATTATTATTATTATTATTATTATTATTAAGTAGAATAGTTTTTAATTTCCTAATAAATATCCTACTGTAAACTACAACCATTAACAATTTATATATGTGATTAGAATATGTGTTAGCTTTTGTAAGTGATTTTATGTTTTAGAATAGAATATGGAATATTCTCAATAATATTTGTAAGGGAAACATAATCCTCATATGTGCCATTTACATATATTTCAATTAATATGGAAATGAGTGCATGTTTTTAATTTTTATTTTTAAAGGTGTGCGTGTAAGACATTATTATTTGCACAAAAAATATGGGGAAATAGTTACTCCACCGCAATTAGAGCGTTATTATGAACGTTTTACATTGTAACTAACATAATTCAAACAATGGATCTGCAACAAATCAACTATGGTTTATACATCGTACTATGATAGTTCAGTCATGAGTTACGTCGTTATTTAGGAAACGCACCCCTGAATGTTGTCATAAATGTAAGTTGTGCTAGTGTTTTCTTACCAATTATGACAATAATTCGAGTGAAACGGCTTCTTATAGAAGAATAAAATGTAGGGAGAGAATACATTTTTCTTCAAGAGCTGATTGGATTGTTGGATAGTTGCTATTGGTCAAAATAGAATAATGGGAAGATATTTTTATTAAAGATTACACTGGGCTTTCATAAACTAATGTTGAGTCAAATACGGACAAACCCAATGTTGGGTTCAGTTTTCAAAAAAAAATTTAAATGACACTTTTTTAAACTAGTGATTGGGTTTGTCCATATTTGACCCAACGTTGGGTTACAACAAAAGAGCATTTTTATAATGTATGAATGTAAAAAAATAAATGAATAAATTGATGCGCACAATTGAATAAGTTATAAAAAAACACCATAAATAATAAAGTCAGAATTGTCAGTTTTGATTTCATGGTGACTTTTTTTAGATCAAATAACATTTTTAGATACACTCTATAAAACTATGGGTTGTTGTAACCAAACGTTGGGTCAAATAGGGATAAAGCCAATGTTGAGTTTTTGAATCACATTCTTTTTAACACAATAGGTTGGGTTTGTCTATATTTTACCCAGTGTTGGGTTACAATAACCCAGCATTTTTATAGTCTATGAGAACCAATGAACTTGGGTCAAATATGGACAAACACAACCATTCATTCATTTATTTTATTTTCAGCTTAGTCCTTAATTATTAATTTGGGGTCGTCACAGCAGAAGGAACCGCCAACTTATTCATCATGTTTTACGCAGCAGATACCCTCTCCAGCTGCAACCCATCACTGGGAAACACCCATACACTCCCATTCACACTACAGCCAGATAGCTTACCCAATTCACCTATAGCGCATGTCTTTGGACTTGTGGGATAAACTGGAGCTCTTGGAGGAAACTCACGTCAACATGGGAAGAACATGCAAACTCCACACAGAAATGCCAACTGACCCAACCAAAGCTCGAACCAGCGACCTTCTTGCCGTGAGGCAATCATGCTACCCACCATGATGCTCTCTGTTGGGTTAATTTTTCAAATAAATTTAAATGACACTTTTTTAAACTAGTGATTGTGTTCGTCTATATTTGACCCAATGTTGGGTTACAACAACACAGCATTTTTATAATGTATGAACGTAAAAAAAATGGCACAAATGAATAACTTATATAAAAAATAAATAATAAAGTAAGAATTGTCAGATTTGATTTCATGATGACTTTTTTAGATCAAATAACATATTTAGATACAACACTATAAAAATGATGGATTGTTATAACGCAACATTGGGTCAAATTTGGACAAAGCCAAACTGAGTTAAGTTTTTAAATCACATTTTAATTAATGGATGAGTTTGTCCATATTTTTTTCATATTCAGTTTTAAGTTACAATAACCCAGCATTTTTCTATGATATGGGAACCAATGAACTCAGGTCAAATATGGACAAACACAACCATTGGGGTAAAATGTGTAATTTAGGTTTGATTGAAAAAAACGAACCCAATGTTCTGTTTATCAACAACAACCCAACGTTTTTAGAGTGAAGTTACCAGAAAAGTAACTTGTTTCTGACAATGAGAATTACAAAATAAAAGTAATTTTTACTTTGAATGACTTAATTCTCAAGCAAATGTATCTTGGCTTAAAACTGTTTAGATATTTCACTTTAAAAAATGCAAACAAAAAATAAAAAACTCTAAAATCACATTATGAAGTGTAGAGACTGCTGTAGCATAGTGAAAAATACAGTTTAGATCCCTGGATTCAGCTGGCCTTTTAAAAACTGCCCAACTGTAGGCCTGATTCAGCCAATTTAGGGTTGTTGCTGTTTTCTGTGTGTGTGTGTGTGTGTGTGTGTGTGTGAGTGTTGCAACTGATTGTGCTCTCCAATAAATATACATTGGTCATCAGATTACGTAGGTTGGTGTGTGTTTGGCAGCTGTAGGCTGTGTATCTTTCCTTTGTCGAAAACAAGGGGACTTCAGTTTGTCCTCTGTAGGTGTTTCAATTGGCTTTTTATAGGCCAGTAACGTACATTTCCATGCCGTCGTTAAAGGTAAAGATAGTGGTGGTGCTCGCTGCATTTGCTCCCTGCTTCACGTCGCCAATAGTCTCGTAAAAGTTTTCGCAGGTCATAGCTCTGCCGGGACTCGGTGCAGCCTTCTTTTTGGCCTTTAAGGTGTTGCTGGCCAGCTTCTCTCTTTTCCGGTGGGAATCGATGGTGGCGTAGGCTGGGTCCGACTCTACTGCAAGCCCCCTAGGCCATGTTTTCTCACCCACAGGTTCGTAGCAGTGCTCCTCCTGAGTGGCACTCCTCCCCCACGACTCTTCCCCCGTAGCGCCAGCGGCAGGCCATCCCGTGGCCCCCTGATCCTCCCCTTGGGACGCGGTTGGCACTGTCGGCCTGTTCTCCTCCTGGCTTTGACCCTGCTGGTGTTTCCTCTTCAGGGTCTTACACACGGTAGAGTACATGTCAGAGATCTGAAGACAGAGAGAGAAAGAGAGAACCACAGAATAAGAAATACTGCCAAACATCAACTTTGCCAAAGAGCATTTCGTAATAACCGTCCTGTGGAGCACATTCTCAAGTTACATTTATAGTACTAAAGGAGTCACCAAAAACAGAGCGCAGTATAAACTTACCAAGATCATCTCCACACTTATTCGCAAATTACTTGAGGGTTGCTATGCAGGTGCTGTGGTGTTTGGTTCTGTTGCTATCCTTTTGTTGCTTAATTGGTTGCTTGGATATTCTTGGTTTTAATTAAGATATTGTAAGTAGTTGTTCCTGGAGGTTGTTAGGGTGTTCCCGGCCATTTCTAGGGTAATCTAGGTGTTTGCAAATTTGTTCAGTGTTGTTTTTGGTAATTACCAGGATGTTGGTTCACTTTGTTGCTATTAAGGCGGTCTGGGTTATTTTTAGGGTGTTACAGCTGGTTGCTACGTTGTTGTTGGTAATTCTTAGAGTGTTGGTACATTTGGTTGTTGTTAAGGTGTTCTGGGCTGTTTCTAGGGTGTTGCTTTGCAGGTGCTGTGGTTGTTAGGGTGTTCCTGGCCATTTCAAGGGTAATCTAGATGTTTACAAACCTGCTCAGTGTTGTTTTTGGTAATTACTAGGTTGTTGGTACATCTAGTTGCTATTATGGTGTTCTAGGTTATTTCTATAATGTTACAGGTGGCTGCTACATTGTTATTGATAGTTACTAGGCAGGTTAAGTTTGGTTGTTAGGGAGTTCCACATGGTTTCCAAGTGGTAGAGTATTCTGTGTGGTTTTATAGGGTGTTACAAGTGGTTGCTACGTTGTTGTTGGTACTTACTATGCTGTTGATACACTTGCCTGTTGCTAAGGTGTTCTGGGCTATTTCTAGGGTATTGCTTGATGTTGCTATGCAGGTGCTGTGGTGTTTGGTTTTGTTGTTATGCTTTTGTCGCTTAATTGGTTGCTTGAATACTATTGGTTTTAGTTAAGGTGTTCTAAGTGGTTGTTTGTAGAGGTTGCTAGGGTGTTCTTAGACATTTCTAGGGTACTCTAGGTGGTACTCAAACTGGTTCAGTGTTGATTTTGATAATTACTAGGTTGTTGGAACACTTGGTTGCTGTTAAGGCTTTCTGGGTTATTTCTAGGGTGTTACAGCTGGTTGCCACGTTGTTGTTGGTAGTTGCTAGGGTGTTGGTACATTTAATTGTTGTTAAGGTGTTCTGGGCTGTTCCTAGGGTGTTGTAGGCGGTTGGTAGGTTGTTAAGGTGTTCTGTGCCATTCTTGTAAACTGCTCGTTTGTCATATTAAGGATGTTCAAAGTTGTTGCTATGTTGTTGTTAGAGTGTTCTAAATGTTTAAAATGCATTTTATAATAATAACCATCCTGGGAGGCACATTCTCGAGAGGTCACCAAAAACCAGAGCACAGTATAAACTTACAAAGACTATTTCCACCAGTCAACGTTATTCACATTTTGATTGAGTGTCACTATGCAGGTGCTATGGTGTTTGGTTTTGTTGTAATGTAGTTACTAGGGTGTTACAGGTGGTTGCTAGGGTCTTTTGGACAATGGCTAATCTGTCCAGAATATGAAAACTATAAATTCTATGCTTTCAAATCATGAATAGGTTGTTTTGCTTTATGTTTAGACTACATTAGCATTTAAAAATGTAAAAGCAAACAGTCCCACAGGTTACTCTTCATATGAAACAAGAAACTGTGGTATAATATGCATTCAGATATCTCAGACCTTTCCAACTGTATATATTTTGTCATGAATCAATTAGAATGTAATTGCAATATAGTGAACTTGTCACATTCAGTTGGTGGGGATAGGACGAGGACACGCATTCATACAATGACAAAGACTGACAATGATGGGACAAATGAGTGCCCAACCTGAAAAAACTCAAGTTGACCACAGCATGGAAGACATGAAAGGACTATTCTGTCACCAAAACAAGAATTAACAAGACCAAAGTGGCAGAATCCTTACAGAACTAAAATTAAGAGTTCTGCTGGCAAGACAATGGCATTTAAGAGGTCATTAGGGTGTTCTACGTGGTTGGTAGAATATTGTGGATAATGGCTACTTTGTTCTACTGGTTGCTTGCTAAGTTGTTCTTGCTAAGGTGTTTCCAAGTAGTAGAATATTCAGAGTGGTTACTAGGTTGTTATTGGTACTTGTGAGTGATTTTAGATGGTTCCTGATCTATTCTTAATGATTGCTAGCATCTTCTGGTTATATTTAATGGCTAGGGTGTTTCCAAAAGGCTAAAAAGTGACAGAGTGCACTAGGTGGTTGATAGATCTGATGAATTTTGGATATTTGCTGAATTTTTTCTAGTGGTTGCAAGCATGCTCTAGCAATAGTATATTGTTTTGGTGTTCCATGTAGTTACTTCTGTGATTTACTGTAGGTGGTTGGACATTGTGCTTGTTGTTTGCAAGCATGTTCCACATGGTTTCCAAGTGGTAGAGTATTTTGTGTGGTTGCTAGGTTGTTCTTGGATGATTGCCAACATGTTATAGTTTATTTATGTTGCTTGGGTATTACAGGTGGTTAGCGCTGTGTTTTACATGGTTGCATGCTTTACAAGCGTGTTCTGGTTATATTTGGTTGCTAGGTTAATTTCCAAGTGGTGGAGTAATCCAGGTTGTTAGGGTGTTCTCAGACATTTCTAGGGTAACTTACTGTAGGTGTTTGCAAAACTTGTTTTTAGTAGTTACTAGGGTGTTGGTACACTTGGTTGTTACTAAGGTGTTATGAGTTGTTTCTAGGGTGTTACATGTGGTTGCTAGGTTGTTGTTAAGGCGCTTTATGCCATTTTATGGGTCTTGTAAGTTGCTTGGTTGTTGTTTTAAGGGTGTTCTAAGTTGTTGCTAGGTTGTTGTTAGGGTGTTTGCTATGCTACACTATGTGGTGGCTATGCTACTCTTGGTTGTTGCTAAGATATCGAAGGGTCTTATAAGTGGTTGCAAATTGTTATTGTTGTAAGGGTGTTTTAAGCTGTCATTAGGTTGTTGTTAGGGTTCTAAGTTGTTGCTAGGTTGTTGTTGTCAGGGTGTTCCAAGTGGTTGCTAGGCTGTTCCTGGTCATTAGGGTGTTATAAGTGGTTTGTACTTTGTTGTTGTAAGGCAGTTCTAAGTGGTTGTTATTCTTGGGGTGTTTTGTCTCTTAAATTGTTGCTGTTAGCGTGTTCTAAGTGGTTGTTTCGATTAATCAAAGTGGTTGTTAGTTTGAGCTAGGTGCTTGCTAGACTCTACTAAGTGGGTAGTTTTCTTTTCAAAGTTGTTGCTATGTAGCTTTTATATTGGTGGCATACCGACCACATCCACAAATATTTAGATCATGCTTTTTCTCTCCATAAATTCAATTTCATTTTTCTGTTATCATTTGGTGCAAATTGATGAATTAAATGACTAACAGCTCACCTTTCCTCACAATCAAGTCCATGATTTCAAGTATCCGTTGCAGGCATGCTGCAGGATAAGTTACTCAGATTTACAATACTCAGATTGAGGAGGCTGTTCAAAGTTTAAGCAGCAGTTATAGTAGCAAATGCCTTAGCAAACTAGAAGACAACAGGACAGTGCCTGAAGATGTAGTGTATGCACAGCTTCAATGCCCACAGTTGTGAGTGTTTGACTCGTGTGTCATAGTGTGTGCCGAGGGCTGCGTGGTAACAGGACTCTGCTTGCACACAGCAGAAATATGACCCAGTTTGGCCGTGATCGACAGAGCCAGTGTAAACGCTCTTATCTGGCTGCAGAGAGCAGCACTGTTACCTAACCTGCAGATAAGCCTGTTAAACTTTCACCACAGCAGCCCACCAGGACGGCATTAACCCTGCTAACCAGACAGGAGCCAAGCAGGTGGAGAGATATCACATATTGCCCCTTTGACATCCACATGTGCTCGATCATGTAAAAATACCATGAATGAATCACTAAAATCAGGAAACAGATCTTAGAGAGCAGAGTAAACTTGCAAAGTTCATTTCCATCAGCACTGACATTGAACTATATTGACAACTAAAACTGATTACTACTGGTTGCTATGGATTATTTTAGGTAGATGATGAATTTAAGTTAAGTGTTCTGGGTCGTTTGTTAGGTGATGCTTTCCATGTGTTGTTAGAGTCACTACAGTCTTCTGAATGGTTGATAGGGTATTCTAGTGAAGTGTGGATGGTTGCTACCTGGTTCTAGGTGGTTGCAAGGCCATTTTGTTTAGTTTCTAGGCAGTTTTGTCTAGCTACAAAATTTAAGTGGTTGCTTGCATATTCTTGGTTTTAGGTAATGTGTTTTAAATGGTTGTTTGTAAAGGTTGCTAGGGTGTCCTTTAGACATTTCTACGGTAATCTAGGTGTTTGCAAACCTGTTGAAAAACCTGTTGTTTTTGCTAGTTACTAGATTTTTGGTTCACATGGTTGCCGTTAAGGTTTTATGAGTTATTTCTAGAGTATTACATATTATTGCTAGGTTATTGTTGGTAGTTGCTAGGGTGTTGGTACACTTGGTTGGTATTAAGGTGTTCTGGGATATTTCCATGGTGTTACAGGTGGTTAGTAAGTGTTAGTGTAACAGGATTATTTCGGGTATATTGATCTCACTATATTTTCCTCCTGTTTACTTACTGTTCAGATAAAATTGTTTTGTGTTCACAATACAAATGTAAAAAGAGTATGTAAAGTGACAGTGGTTTCATCTCTTCTCCCCCCCTAGGGTTAACGCCAAGGTGGTATAGTCCAAGCAGCCATACCTGTTGCACTATTGCTTGAGCGGTCTTTTCCACCTTTACCTTGAACTAAGGAGTGTACATTTAATGTAATGAGCTGAAGCTGCCGATCTCATAATAACATTCTCTGTGCAGACTCAAAATGGTGTCCTCTCGTCATTAACTACACTACACAACGCAGAGCAAAAGAGATTATGGTTACATTAGTTTGGGTGTTCTGTGCCATTTACAAGGGTACGTTGTTGCTAGGTTGTTAGGGT